CATCATCCTCATGTCCTTCATCATCCTCATGTCCTTCATCATCCTCATGTCCTTCATCATCCTCATCATCCTCATGTCCTTCATCATCCTCATGTCCTTCATCATCCTCACACCCTTCCTCCTCCTCCTCATCCTCAGAGCAGAGGGTAGTTCTCTGACTGAGTCCAGATCAGTTCTGATCTCTGACCCTCTGCTGCAGGATCAGGTCTTCACTTTGTAAACAAACCAGACCCCCAACAGGTCTCTACAGGTCCACCACTGTCCAACAAGTTAACAACCAGGCTAATGACTATAGTAATGGCTAAGCTAACAACCAGGCTAATGACTATAGTAATGGCTAAGCTAACAACCAGGCTAATGACTATAGTAATGGCTAAGCTAACAACCAGGCTAATGGCTATAGTAATGGCTAAGCTAACAACCAGGCTAATGGCTAGGCTAACAGGCTGCAGTCTCAGCAGCTGTAACTTGGTAGTCTGTCAGCCCTCAAAGCTTTTCTCTGGGATGACTCTCAGCTACCACCACACCAAACTGTGTCATCAGGTTGACAGATGTGTAATTAGTTTTGTCGATCATGTTGAATTGTGTTAGATGTGAAAGGGATTCAGGTGTAGACAGGTTTAAGACATATTTTGCTAAAAAACAGACGTTACATGATCCCTCCTTTCTAACGGCAGACGACAGCTAATCTTGGTGCTTTTATTTTGAAGTGGCTCACCTCTGCAGCGCACGTCGCTGTCTCCTGCCTCATACCCGGGGCGGCAGGCGCAGCTGGACAGAGGCTGCCCCACCCACTGACCGTCCTCGCCACAAAGCATGCTGGGAGATWTTGACTTCTCTCCAGGCGGGGTCACAGCGTTCTCTACACACACACCCTGAGCCTGTGCACACGCACACACAGATAAAAATAAGCTTTCAAAATAAAACATCCACACAGATCTAACACTTCCTGTACATGTCGTTGCCATGGTTACCTGCTCCACCAGAGAGTGGGGGATGGTTTCAGGGAAGAAGGTGAAGGCACGGCGAAGGGGAGGGCACTTCCTGTAAAAGACGCGCACAGCGAGCAGCGCCATGCAGGCGCCCTGGCTCTGAAAGGCCAGGTAAAGCCCCGCCTCCCGAAGCCCCTCCAACCGCAGCAGCTTGACGTTGGAGCGCCGCTCACCGCCGCGTCGCAGCAGATGGTCGGCAGCGATGGTAGCCACTTTGGTATAAGGGTTCTCCATCCAGGCGGGGTGAGTGGGCGTGGCCTCGTCGCTGTCAGACGCGTACATGTAAAGGTTAAAGGTCTCTTTGCAGTGACGCTGGTTCAAGCCTGCACACTCCATCGTGGTGAACCTGCAGTGAGTCATTACCTCATCAGTTACATCACTTCCTGTCACATGACACACCAACACAGAACAAATCCACCAACCGGATCTCCACGTAGAGCGTGGTCGCCGCCCCCCGGGGGATCCACCGTGTCCTCAGCCAGTAGGAGGCGGGGCTATCGGAAGTACAGATCTGATAGGTCCGAACGCTGTTGGCGTCATCATCAACGCCACTGACCTCGTCCCACTGAGGACGAAGACAGGTCACTGATCAGGACACTGATCCAGGTAATAAACACTTTATTACCTCTGTTATTAATCTATTTATTAATGCTGGTAATAACCACTTTATTACCTGTTATTATTCAGTTTATTAATGCAGGTAGTAATCACTTTATCACCTGTTATTATTCTGTTTATTAATGCTGGTAATAACCACTTTATTACCTGTTATTATTCAGTTTATTAATGCAGGTAGTAATCACTTTATCACCTGTTGTTATTCTGTTTATTAATGCAGGTAATAACCACTTTATTACCTCTGTTATTAATCTGTTTATTAATACAGGTAGTAATCACTTTATCACCTGTTGTTATTCTGTTTATTAATGCAGGTAATAACCACTTTATTACCTCTGTTATTAATCTGTTTATTAATGCTGGTAATAACCACTTTATTACCTGTTATTATTCTGTTTATTAATGCAGGTAGTAATCACTTTATTAACTCTGTTATTATTCTGTTTATTAATGCAGGTAGTAATCACTTTATTAACTCTGTTATTATTCTGTTTATTAATGCAGGTAGTAATCACTTTATCACCTGTTATTAATCTGTTTATTAATGCAGGTAGTAATCGCTTTATCACCTGTTATTAATCTGTTTATTAATGCAGGTAGTAATCACTTTATTAACTCTGTTATTATTCTGTTTATTAATGCAGGTAGTAATCACTTTATTAACTCTGTTATTATTCTGTTTATTAATGCAGGTAGTAATCACTTTATTAACTCTGTTATTAATCTGTTTATTAATCCAGGTAGTAATCACTTTATCACCTGTTATTAATCTGCTTACAAATGCAGGTAGTAATCACTTTATTAACTCTGTTATTAATCTGTTTATTAAAGCAGGTAGTAATCACTTTATTAACTCTGTTATTATTCTGTTTATTAATGCAGGTAGTAATCACTTTATTAACTCTGTTATGAATCTGTTTATTAATTATTTTTATTAAACGTGGGTAATAATAGTTGAATTCATCTGGTTATGATCAGATCAAATCACACTGATGGATTACAGCTGAGATGGGCGGAGCTTACCTGCTGGTCATCTGGTGGATGATTTGTCCAGTGAAGGTCAGATGTCTCCAACTTAGTGTTCATCAGAACCTCTGAGAGACAGAAGGGTGGAGACAGACAGGTAGACAGACAGGTAGACAGACAGGTAGACATACAGGTAAACAGACAGGTAGACAGACAGGTGGAGACAGACAGGTAGAGACAGACAGGTAGAGACAGACAGGTAGAGACAGACAGGTAGACAGACAGGTAGACAGACAGGTAGAGACAGACAGGTAGACAGACAGGTGGAGACAGACAGGTAGAGACAGACAGGTAGAGACAGACAGGTAGAGACAGACAGGTAGAGACAGACAGGTAGACAGACAGGTAGAGACAGACAGGTAGACAGACAGGTAGACAGACAGGTAGACAGACAGGTGTAGACAGACAGGTAGAGACAGACAGGTGGAGACAGACAGGTAGAGACAGACAGGTAGAGACAGACAGGTGGAGACAGACAGGTAGA